CCTCAACAGGAAGGAAGCCAACAGGAAAAATACTTCTTGCGGCGTCTTAACTCCCAGCCTCACTTTTGCCAAAACTTATCCCTGATGCGACATTGCAAAAAAGTGCTGAATTATCGCCACAAATCCTCTTGTGCGCATATAATCTCCACGAAAACAAGCACAAGCATCCACAAGGATATATCCGACCCGTGACGTCACTCCAAACTGTTTACCCAAGGACTAGTTCTATCTCTCTACTCACCAGTGCTGGGTGGAGTAAAATGCCAACTCAGCAGCAGAAACAAATTACCCAGCAAACAGATGAGTACACGAGAACCAGTTCCACTCCACCATATCTCAATGATGTCTCGCTAAATTTATTAAATCGATCTCTAACCCGCAATCAGGAACAGAGCCTCACATACAAAATTCGAAATATTCCCTACGGCACTCCGCCGACTCCTACGCATTTCTCGGATAATGCATCTCATGAGCTATTGTTTCAAACATTATTTACTCATGAGCTACCAAAAGTGCATTGGCTAGTAAACAAACAACACCGGAAGTGCACCCGTCTCAAAGCCTGGCGGAACCTCTTTTCTCCTAATACTCGCATAGCTCAATGCTGTCTTTATCTCACCCTCACTGCTTATCTCGCTCTCACTTTTTCTCATCTCCATACAACTCTTATCCTCAACACTAACACTGACAACGTATTTCGACCATATATTTTAAAGATCCCGCGTTACAGAGACAAGCCCAGCCTACACGCAGACCCAACCGACTTGGAGTCAAGAAAGTCGTCCCGCCGTCCAACGGTGCATCCGTGGGTTGTTCAATCAACCGAACAAAACGTGTGAGCAATTGCCAAACCTCGTAGAAGTCATGGTTCCGCAGGCCCGCCGGCATGTTGAGGACATGAGTCCCACCCTAATGAAATTAAAGTCCCTCGAAATTACAGTTTTCTCTATTTCAAACACTATTGTAAAATTGCCTTAAATATGTATAGATATTAAAAACCACTTAAAGTTGAATAGTTACCTACTACCCTGTATTTATTAACGTCATGTTTGTACGTACATACATACACATGATTAGCTTCCTAACTCATAAGTAAAAGAAAAGATGTAAAATTAATCGATCGCTGTTGACTGCCCGTCCTTGTTGCATAATATCAATTTTCTTGTTCCACTGACAACTCTACGCAACTTTAATCCCTTCTATCCGGATAAAGTCAAAACTAATTATGCAAGGAATGCTCCTCTGTCGCGTGCTCTCTGTGAATTCAACGAGATATCGTATTCTGTCGGCATTGATTTCTCATTATCCAAAAAGTATTTTATTTCTTTGTTATATTCTGTTCTTTGATACATTATTGTATTTTGTTATTTTGATATTTGTAAATTTGTTTATGTTTAAGTATTCAAAATCTTCTCTGTTTGTAATTTCTAATTTCTAGTTTCTGTATAGTCAGTAAGAACTTTGTTAATTGACTTTATGAAATAAATAAATAAATAAATAAAATTCATATTACTATCCTTTCCGAACTCACATGCTTTGTTGAGCGCGTTTTTCCGTAATAAATTCAACAAAAACTAAGATTCGAAATAGGATGCGGTTGGAAAGCCTTAATTCAATAGTTCGAATAAAGTGTTATATGAAGGCGAATAGTTTCTGCTGCAAAACGTTTTCAATATCAAACAGTATGTTATCAAGGATGAATAGCTCAATATATGACAACAACAGAAATGTAAATCATTCAGACACTATCGGTGATTTTGAAGAAATTGTGGAAATATGTAGCTGATTTCGCCTTATTATAGGTTTTTATTTAATTTTTAGCGCCGAGCTCTTTAAAGCGGATTGTGCGATTAATCAACTAATATGAGTTATAATAAATTTAATATTTGCGCAGTCCTATTTCAAAATATGTTGAAACAAATATTTTTAAAAAGTATGCGTTTTTTAAAGAAAATTGTTTGTACATCACTATTATATAAGTAATTTGTGTTATTTATTATTACCCTCTGAAGGTATTATATTCGTTCTCGGTTTTAAAAGCTATATTATAACAAGATCTCATTTTTAAATAAAAGATTTGTTAAATCGATTTTATGAATTAAAAAAATGGCGATTTTCGGCGATTTTTTTCTTCAGAAATTGCGTTTTTTTTTAAACAATCGGACACCCTGATTTGTATGTAAATGAACTAGCACCTGGCGAAGTCCTGTGCAACCGCGGGGCACCTAGAACTTAATGAGTTTGATTGTTGCAGGATCATAGAAAATATTCCAAAGTTTAACTACAGCAAAATAAATTTAGTCTTGATTTGCTGCAATTTGTAAATTAATTAAGTAGATTGATTGCAAGTTATTAGCGTACATCCATAATTTTGGNCAAAATAAATTTAGTCTTGATTTGCTGCAATTTGTAAATTAATTAAGTAGGTTGATTGCAAGTTATTAGCGTACATCCATAATTTTGGTTTTCTTTTTATACGGTTAATAGATGTGCATTATAATGAGCCGAAATTCTGCTTTTTTAGAATTTTGATAGGTAATAGCAAAAATGTGGTTCATTATGCTCTAAAAACAATCTGCGTAAAAGATGCCGATTTTTGGTCAATATCTAATCAAGCAAACGTCAAGCTGTGAAGTTCTACTTATATTGTGCTCTGATTTGTCTTTGTATTTTGCAAAGTTTATTGAGCTAATTCTAGTAAAAGTTGCTATAAAAAGTGCCTACGAGCATCTTTGTGTGATAATAATCGAAGCTAAGTGAAAGTTTTGTATTTTTGTGGTTTATATTAAATTCAATTAAATTTCACTAGCATACATCTAATCTTGCCGAGTCATTTGTTGTTATCATTGTTGTTGTAATTCCTTTGTAGTTAACTGAGATCGTTTCTATTTTTGCACATTTCTTTTTGCTCTTTTTGTTTACTTCTTTTAGTATTTCTTGTCACAGCTGTTTGCGTTGCGTTTATTAAGTGTCACAATACAGTGATACTCAAACTGTTCGCTACATATATTTTTAAGCTAAATACATCAGCTCCTAAATTGTTGTGTGTGTTGTGTTAAACTTATTTTGCTTGTCTTTTATTAACATAAGTGTTATCTTTCAATATGAAGTGTGATCTTGATAACTGCCAAATTAAAACCGAATCTGAACGCTGCTTATCGTGCTGGCTCTGTGATGGCATTTGCCATCTAAAATGTGCTGGTTTGACAGGAAGAATTCTGGACGCTATTAATGATGGCAAAGGTCTTCGCTGGTCTTGCTTAAAGTGCAGGTCAACCGAAGTTGATCTCTTTAAGTTGTTTAGGCAAACCAGAAATGGGTTTTCTGAGGTAGGGAGAGAGTTGTCGGTACTGACCGAAAAATTTAAACATTATGAAAATGTATTTAAATCTTTTAAATGCTTAGATACCGTACAATCTATGAAGGACATTCATGTGTCAAAACGTAAGCGTCTTCATAGTCCGCCTAATGAAAGGACCGTTCCACGTCAGAACA